AATTATTTGAATAATATTTCCCTTATAATCCATTTAATACTTGAAAGATTCATATTGATGTCCTTTTTTGCATTATTGATAATGATCATTTTTGTCATACTCCTGCCCCAGTTTTTTTTTTCTTATCAGACTGGCTAACTTATTAAATTTATTGATCTTTTCAAAGAGCCAAATTTGGTCCCATCAATCAGTTTTGTGATTTGTATTTAATTGATTTCTGCTCAGATCTTCATTATTTTTTCCACATGCTTGCATTGGGTTTGATTATTTCCCCCTACATTCTTTTAATCTTTTTTTAAGTTCTAGATGGACTCAATCAATCAATCATTTATGTATGTATGTATGTATGTATGTATGTATGTATGTAGTTCTGAGGATCAAACCCAGTGCCTCACACGTGCTAGGCAAGCACTCTACCACTGAGCCACAACCCCAGCCCCTTCCCCTAGATTCTGAAGGTGGAAGCTTAGCTAATCGAGGCCACACTTCTCCATCATTTTGTGTCTGTGTGTGTTAGTGGGGATTGAATCCAGGGGTGCTCTACTACTGAACTACATCCCAGCCTCCCTTCCTTTTTTGGGGATTGGATTTAGGGACACTTGGCTACTGAGCCACATCCCCAGCCCTATTTTGTATTTGATTTAGAGACAGGGTCTCACTGAGTTGCTTAGCACCTTGCTGTTGCTGAGGCTGGCTTTGAAGTTAAGATCCTCCTGCCTCAGCCTCCTGAGCCCCTGGGGTTACTGGTGTAATCTGCGCCTGGCCCCCCACCCTTTTTTGAGACAGGGTCTTGCCAAGTTGCCCAGCCTGGCACTGAACTTGTGATCTTCCTGCCTCAACCTACTGAGTAGCTGAGATTATATTCATGTGCCATCTTATCCAGCTACCATTCTTCTTTTCTAATATAAAGATTTAATGATACAAATTTTCCTCTATGCACTTCTTTTGCTTCAGAAATTTGATGTTTTTACTTTCTAATTCTCTGTGATTTCTTCTTTGATTTCACCATTATGTAGAAATGTCATTTAATATCAAATTATTTTGTGATTTTTCAGATATCTTGCTCTATTTTTTTTTTTTTTTTTTGGTGGTGCTAGGGATTAATCCCAGGGATTTGTGCATGCTAGGCAAGCACTCTACTGAGTAATATCCCCAGCCCTCTTGCTCTAATTTCTATTTTAATTATTTTTGGTCAGAGAGAATACTTCTATGAATTCAGTCCTTTTGAAGCTGTTGAGATTTACTTTATGGCCCAGAACATGGTCTACTGGCGAATATTTTACTGGTGAATATGCACATCTGAAGTTTGTGTATTCTGCTGTTGTGGGTCTATAAATATCAATTAGGTCAAGTTTGTCAGTGAAATCTTTTATGTATTCTTGATTTTTTTTGGTTCACTTCTACTATTGATTGCTGACACAGGAATGTTGAGGTCTTCAAATATAACTTGGATTTGTCTATTTCTCCTTGCCCATTCTATCAGTTTTTACTTATTGCATTTTTTTTTCTGGTACTGGGGATCGAACCACTGAGCTACTGGGGATCGAACCACTGAGCTACATAACCAACCCTTTTTTGAGACAGGTTTTCACTGAGTTGTCTAGGCTGGCCTTGAACATGCAATCCTCCAACCTCCAGCTCTTGAATACCTAGGATTTCAGGCATGCACTATCACATCTGGCTTCAGCTCTTGCATTTTGAAGATGCATACCCATTCATCATTTTTATGTCCTTTCAATGAATATGCCTATCATTATGTAACATTCACCTTTACCCCTTGTAATAGTCATTCTGAAGTATGTTTGGATATTAATTTAGCCTTTTGGCTTTCATTTGATTCATATCTTCTGGGTATATAATTTCCAATAATTTAAACTTATTAATATTTAAAGCAGGATTCTTTTGGATGGTATATAGTTAAGTCTTGCTATTTTTATTCCAACTAACATTTTAGATATTTTAACTGACAGTAGAAGAAATGCACATTTAGTGTGTAAAGAGTTTTACATTTAAATCTACCATCTGGCCATATTTTTCTATTTATTATGTCTTTTATTCAGACTTTCCTCTTTATTTTTATTGGATCAGTTGAACATTTTAAAACTATTATGTGTACTATTGGTATATAGTTTACAATATATATTGTTCCTTTATCACAATATGACTTCAAGTAAAATTCGACTTCATGTATGCTCTAAGAATCTTACAACTACTTTCATTTCCTTTCCCCCTTCCTTTGTGCTATTATCTTGCACTATATTTCTACATGTCAAAACCCCACAGTATACTGCTACTTTTTTGACAATTTTCTTTTACAGAGATTCTCTAAGAGAAAAAAAATTGACTGGCTGCAGTGGTACACACCTGTGATCCCAGTGATTGCGGAGGCTGAGGCAGAAGAGTCACAAGTTCAAAGCCAGCCTCAGAAACTTAATGAGGCCCTAAGCAACTTAATGAGACCCTGTCTCCAAAAAAAAAAAAAAAAAAAGAAATGTATATATATATATGGCTGGGGATGTGGCTCAGTAGTTAAGCAGTCCTGGGTTTAATCCCCCGTGCAAAAAAGAAAAAAATATTTTTTTTTCACAATTTTGCTCTTTCTATCACTATTCAGTTTTTTGTGTGGATCCAAATTTCCTTCTGATCAAAGATAATAATAATTAAATAATAGCAATATTATTTAAAAAATTTATTTTTAAATAAATATTTAAAAATAATTTATTTATTTAAAAAATATTAAATACTTATTTAAAAAATATTAAATACTTATCTAGAATTATTTGAGTTTATAAAACCTCATATAAAGTCCCAAGCAGGTCAATAAAAGGTAAAAGAGGTTGATCCTTCAAAAGGAAATTGTATGTACTATAACTTTAAAAGAAGCAGTTTTAGCCAGGTGCAATGGCACACGCCTATAATCCCAGTGGGTCATGAGGCTGGATGATCTGAAGTTCTGGAGGATCTGAAGTTCAAAGCCTGCCTCAGCAATGGAGAGGCGCTAAGCAACTCAGTGAGATCCTGTCTCTAAATAAAACACAAAATAAGGCTGGGGATATGGCTCAGTGGTTGAGTGTCCCTGAGTTCAATCCCTGGCCTCCCCGCAAAATATGCCCTACAATCCCTTGTAGGGCATATGTGGTAGCAATGATGTTTTAAAAACTTTTTTTTAACCTTCATTTTAAAAATTACAGGGCTGGGGATACAGCTCAGTGGTAGGGCACACAATGAGGCCCTAGGTTCAATCCCTGGCAAAAAACAAAATTCTGGGTTACATAGATTCTGATGAAAAATCTGATGACCTTAAATTTGTTCTTCTGTAGTATGCCTTCTTTATTGTATTTTTCTGTCAGGGCATCATGAGTGTTGGTATCTGAATCAATATTTTCATTAGTTGAGCTGGACTTCAGTTGTATTATTCCTATATTTTATTTTTAGTATAATACAGGACTTCAGATTCAGGCCACAAGATGGAAGACCAATATACAAAAATCAATTGTATTTTTATATACTAGCAATGAGCAATGCAAACAAATAATTAAGAAAACAATTTCAGCTACAGCAGAATCATAAGAATAAAATACATAGGAAATTAATTTAACCAAGGAGGTGTAAAAGTTGTACACTGAAAATTACAAAGCACTGTTGAAAGACATTAAAGATGACTTAAATAAATGGAAAGACATCTGAGTTCATGGATTGGAAAACTGAATAATAAAATGACAATATTTCCAAAGTTGATATACATATTCAGTGTAATCTGTATCAAAATTCCAACTACAGTTTTTGCAGAAATTGACAGGCTGATTCTAAAATGAATATGGAAATTCCAGCAACCCAACGCAGGTTAAGTAATCTTGAAACAGAAAACCAGGTTGAAGGACTTATACTTTTGAACTTCAGAAATTATTACTAAGCTCCAGTAATCAAGACAGTGTGGCACTGGCATAAAGACAGACCTATTGATCAATGGAACAGAATTAAGAATCCAGAGAGGGCTGGGGTTGTGGTTCACAGGTAGAGCACTCGCCTAGCATGTGTGAGGCACTGGGTTCGATTCTCGGCACCACATAAAGTAAAATAAGATATTGTGTCCACCTATAACTAAAAAATAAATATTTTTTAAAAAAGAATCCAGAGATAAACCCACACATACACAGTGACTTAATTTTTGACAAGGATGCCAAGATAATTGAGTGGGAAAAGAGTATTATCAGGAAATGTTGCTGGGACAATTGGATATCCACATACAAAAGAATGAATTTCAACTCTGACATCCTACTGTATACAAAAATCAGCAAAAATGAATCAAAATCCCAGGGTAAGAGCTAAAACTATAAAACTCCTGTAAGAGAGCATAGGAATAAGTTATTGTGACTTTGGATTAGGCAATACATTCTCCAATATATTAAAAGCCATTTTTAAAAAATGACATGTAATACATGTTGAGAAAGATGTGGAGAAACTGGTGGGAATGCAAAATGGTACAGCTGTTACAGAAAACAGTTTGGCTTTTCCTCAAAAAGTTAAACATGATCAAGTGATTTCACTCCTGGGTACATACCAAAGAGAAATGAAAATATGCGTTTACAGAAACTTGTACATACATGTACAAAGCAGCATTATTCATAATAGCCAAAGACTATCAGCAGCCCCAAATGTCCATCAACTAATGAATATATAAACCAAATGTGGTAGTATATCCACATAATGAAATATTTTTCAGCCATAAAAGTACTGATATATACTTCAAGATGGATGAAAACTGAAAATCATTATACTATCTGAAAGAAGCCAGAAACAAAAGGAACCAGTATACGATTCTATTTACATAAAATGCATAGAATCCACAAATCCGTAAATAAAAGAAGATAATTACATGAATGACAAGGGAATAGAGAAGGGGGAAGAGATGTTAACAGTATGGGGTGGGTCCTATGTTTTAATCCATTCCTTATTGCAAAATATCTAAGACTATAATGTAAACAAACAAAAAGGTTTACTTTGGTTCATGGCTCAGAGGTCTAGTAGCATCGTGCCAGCATCTTCTTGATTTCTGGTGAGGTAGCAGAGATGAAAGCACACAACTTCTTCTATAGCAAATCCATTCCTAAAATTAAAAAAAAAATTAGTCTATTCATGAGAACACAGCCCCATCACCTAAATAACTCTTAAGGGACCCACCGCACCCAATACTGCCTCATTTAAGAACAAACTTCAATATGAATTTAGGTGCAGACAATCAATCATTCAGAATATAGCATTCTAGAAATGGTTACTGTGATGGCTCACAACCTTTTGAATACTACAGTACTTGAGTTATAACTTTATAACATTAAAGGTTAAAAAAGGAAAACTACATGTAAACTTGTATATTTTGATGATTTTTGGCAAATACAATCTACTACATCAAAAAATGAAATAAACAGTCCGTATCTTGCCTCTCTCAGTATAATCATCAGAGGAGACTGCTGAAATCACTTTAGGTATTTTGTTGGCCTTGCTTTCTACATTTGTAAGCATCCCGTGTGTGTGTGTGTGTGTGTGTTTGTGTGTGCGCACGCGCGCATCTCCTAATGACCAATCCCCATTAAAAGCATGACATGAAAAAAAGCATTATGGCCAGGATAAACCAGTTCTTTTATGTGGTTCAAGTACAGAGGATGTTACATCACACAATATGAACATTTCATCTCTCACTTAACTTGACTACAATCATTAACTATTTAAGCTTATTATCCCCACAAGTAATGTCCTCTTCATACCATTGTACATATTTTCAATTGCTTCCCTAATACACATTTTTGGACATAGGAATTCTAACTAATATCAATGGAGGGCCTAATTTGTGCCTCACACTATTCTAGGTGATAGGGAAAGAGAAAGAAATAGAGCCAACAATATACAATTCTACTGAGGGGGAGGTGGTTTAATTTAGTACTGATAGATATAGAGAGACCTGAGGTTGTCTTCCCAATTCACATGCATACACAAGTTTTTGTGGGGACATAAGTTTTCATTTTGGGGGGATATGTACCAAGAAGTGGAATTCTGGGCCACATGATGCTCTGTATTTAATTTCGTGGAACTGTTTCCAAAGTGACTGCATCATTTTACATTCCAACCAGCATCTTATGAGGGTTTCACTTTCTTCACATACTTAACCAACATGTTTTTTGGAAAACATCCTAGCAGGTATAAAGTGCTATCTCAACATGACTGACTCATAGACACATTTCCCTGAAGCTAATGATATGGAGCTCCTTTTCATGTGCTTATCAGCCATTTGGATATCTTCTCTGGACAAACTGTATTTAGATTCCTTGCCCATCTTCTAATTGGGTTTTCTTTTCTATTGAGTTGAGAGGTGAGTGAGTGTGTTTTATAGGTAGAAGTTCTTTATCACATATGATTTGCAAAACTTTTTTCTTATATTTTGGGTTGACGTTTCACTTTCTTGATGGTATTCTTTGAAGTATAAAAGTTCAAATTTTGGTGATGCCACATTATCTATTTTGCCTTGGGTTGTTTGTGCATCCATGTCACATCTAGTAAATTGTTGCCCAAACCAAGGTTTTTGAAGACTTATGTCTCTGTTTTCTTCCGATAATTTTAAAGTCTTACATTTAGGTCTGTAATTCATTTTAATTGTAGACAGTGTGACATACAGGTCTAAATTCATTCCTTTGTGTATGGACATCCAGGTTATGCCAGGACAATCCACTGAAAAGACTTTTCATCCTTGACAACAATAAGTTGACCACAGAAATACGGCTTTCAGAAAACTCCATTTTATGCCACTATCTAAAATTATGTCAGTACCACACTGTCTTGAATGCAGTAAATCTATAGTAGGTTTTCAAATCAGGGAGGGTGAATCTTGCAACTTTGTTGTGTTTCAAGACTGTTTTGGCTATTGTGGAAGCCTTTTTCCCCTACATTTTTATTAGGGCTTTAGAATTGTACATAATGGTGGTATTTGATGGTACATACTCGTACATGCACACAACAATATACTTTGGCCAATATCACTCCCCAAGCACTCCCTCCTTCCATCCCCACCTCCCACTCCTTGGTGCCTTTCCTGTACAGACCAAACTTTCATTTCCACCTTTCTTTTCCTTTTTCCTCTCTAGCTTCCGCATATAAGAGAAAACATAGCTCCTTTTATGGTTGGAGTTTGACTTACTTTGCTAAACATAATGTCTCTAGTTCCATCCATTTTCCTGCAAATGACATACTTTCACTTTTCTTTATGGCTTAATAATTAACTCCACTGAGTACACATACCACATTTTCTTTACCCATTCAACCATTGGACAACTAGGCTAGTTCAATAGTTTGGTTATTGTGAGTTGTGCTGCTATAAACATGGGTATGCACATACCACTGTAGTATGATTTTAATTCAGGAAAAATACCAAGGAGGGATATACTTGGGTCATACGGGATTTCCATGCCTAGTCTTTTCAGGGCCCGCCACTGTGATTTCCATAGTAGTCGCACTAATTTACAATCCCACCAACAGTGTAAAAGTGTTCCTTTTTCTCTACATCCTCTTTGCAGGAGACTTTCATTTCATTAGAATTATAGCACCATTTTGTTAATTTAGGGAGATAAGTAATTAGAATTTTGATAGGGATTGCAACGAGTCATAAGATCTCCTTGGGGAGTATAATTGACACTAATTGTAAGTTTTCTAGTCCATGCATGTGAGATCTGTGTACATACATGCATGCACACACACATGCCCCCAAGTGTGCACATATACACGTTAACAAACACACACACACACACACACATTTGCACGTGCATGAAAACACACTCACTGGGTAGGTATGAGCATCTCCTTCTTGCTACTCTCCATTAATACCACGCCATGGAGAAAGGCACTGTGATCAGGACAAACTATGCATTCCCAGGACATACCGTTGGCCATGGAATTGCCAGGTCAAAGGATGCTTTCCTTACCAACATCAATGGAGGGCCTATTCTGTGCCTGACACTGTTCTAGGTGCTGGGGAGAAAGCAAAGAATATAGTGAACAACAGTCTCCCTCCACTGAGGGGGAGGTGGTAGAATTTAATGATCGATGCAGACACAGAGACCTGCAGCTGTCTTGTTGATTCACAGTTCTGTCAGTGGGGAGGGGAAGGAATGTCCCATTCGTGACATCCTAAGTACCACTCCCGGGGCAGGGGCTCCAGCTAGGAGGCTGGACTCTACACTAGGCACTCTACAAGAACAGGAATATGCAACTGGCGTGGCCCATTAGACAATATTAGGAGAAGTGAGATGGGAATGGAATCGTCCACTGAGCAGTGTCAGGGTCACAAAGGCAACACCCATTGGATGTACTGTCCGGGGTGGGGTGAGGGATAGAGATGAAAAGACTCATTAGAAACAGCCTAAAATTAGCACCAGGGACTGAAATGGAGCAACTTATATTCCACGCACGTATGACTAGGTCAAAGGAACCCCACTATTATGTATAATGATAATGCACCAATAAAAACAACTTTTAAAAGAAATAGGTTGAAACAGCCCCTTCTGGGAGAATCACAGACACTGGGGACACTGAGAAGGAACAGGCTGGATGAAACCTCCCTGCACTGAAATGTACCACTTTAGTGGCCCAGATGAAGCAGTACACTTTGGGAAACACCACTGGGGAAGGGAGCCCTGTATTTTAAAATAAACCATTCTGTGTCATGTGTATTGGGCTCCCCACCAAGCAGGAACCTCCACACATCCAGTCAGGGTGAGGCCTCTGCAGCCTCTCAGGTCACCATCATTCCATTTATGGGCCCAGCTACTTGGCTCTACAGATCTAGCCCTAGTGCAGCCAGGAACAAGGGTGAAGAGATAAGTGAATGGTCCCAGGGTGGAGCAGCAGGGCAGAAATTAAGGATGACACTAAAATCTATGTGGTTAATGTGATTGCCCATTCAGGACCTTCCAGGTTAGAGAACATGCATGGTCTGGGTGTCAGGGGTATTGTCCTAGTTTGGAAACATACAGCCCCAAAGGTGGGGCTTCAAATAGCAAAGTGGAGGTGGATTGGGAGAGTTCAGGATCCTGCCCTGGAACCTCAGTCGACTCACCTGTACAAAAGGCTTAAGGTATTACCAGGTCAGTAAGATCACTGGCTCATTGATAAATGCTGATTGGATCCCATTATATTGATCTGAAAGCCCAATATCAGTTTACAGACACACCAAGAAAACCATTCACAGTCAGAAATATGTTCCCCAGAATACCCATGGGTGCAGTTCAAAGAGGATTGGGTTCCTCCAGAACCAGTCCTGATTCCTCCAGGGAGACGGCAACCTGATCCATAAAAAGAAGTAAATGCTCAAATGATGTGTTTTTAGGCATTAGGCAGCAGAGATGTTGAGAGCATCTTGGTAATTAGGGCTTAGGTGGATTCTTAAGGGAACAAATTTATCACCAGGCATCAATTAAGCCCTGACTTTGTTGAAACATCTCCAGAAACACTGCAGGTATGAGACTGAGTCCTCAGGGAGTGGAGATCCACCAGGGGATCAGATATGAGCCAGTGTGTGTCTCCAAAGAAGATGAGGCCCACTAGCAAGGCCACATCAGCCTCAGTCCCAAAACAGCACAGCCTCCCAGCTGTGACTGCCCATGAATAAACAGTCCTACACCAGGGTTGCTCTCATGGTCTATGTGCGGGAATATATCTGCTCTGTCAACTTACACCAAGCTATGTGTAAGTACAGAGACCCTCACACCCCATTCCCTTTATACCTGATTTATGAATTGGGAGGAGGGGACAAGCATACTCAGAGGAGGACAGAAAGGACTGGGAGTGAGGGGTTGATGAGGGGGCGGGGTTGTACGGTCTGTGTCATATAGCCCTGGCACTCTGCGGCAAACACTTTCACCATCTCCCCTTTTAATCTTGAGTCATTCATGCTCAAAAGATCTGCAGAGGGCCATCTGTTCAGGGTTGAGGAGGGCAGAGGAAATCAGGGGGCTCCTGGATCCACATGCTCAAGAGTCAGAAGGGCACCATTCAGGGTGAACAGGATGCTGGGCAGGAGGTCCATTGTTGAGCTGGAGGCGGGTTCCCTGAAGCATCAGCTCTGCTATGACCACTAGAAGACCATTGTGGTTCGTTCACAGGGACACACTCAGCCTCTCCTTACCCAAAGAGTGATTCTGTGGCATAAGGGCATCTCAAGCCTGAGGGCAATGAGGGTTCATTTCCAGGATGGCACAAGACATCTTAACCTAGAACATATCCCCAATCTGGCAGGCACAGGACTCCAGGGTGCATCAGGCCTCGGTATATGTGAATCACTGCCCAGAAGCAGCCTCTGAGGGCAGAACCTGGGTCTTCATCCCCTGGAAAAGGATACTCAGGTGCTTGGACCAGGGCCCAGATGTAGGGGTTCATTCTCATTCTTCTCTATTTCTCTCTCGGTAGTAGGGATTCAACTCAGGGGCACTCAACCACTAATCCACAGCCTCAGCCCAATTTTTGTATTTTATTTACAGTGAGGGCTGAACTGAGTTGCATAGTGTCTTGAAAATTGCTGAGGCTGGCTTTGGACTCACAAAACTCCTGTCTCTGCCTCCCAAACTGCTGGGATTACAGGCATGCACCACCATGCCTGGCCCTCCTTTCTCTTTCATTCCACCCCTGTGTCTCACTCAGGAGACTGGGAGAAACCTGGCTGTGGCCCTATCTGGCATGGATCCTAGAAGGGGTGAACTTGTAGGTTTCTAAGGCCATCTAACACAACTCTGAGTTGTTTCAAGGTCCGCGTCCAGACTGGGAGGTCCCTGGCCCATTATAGGTTGTCAGTTGTCTGAGTCGTTTCAGGATGTCTGTGCAGGATGTGAGATCTGTTGAGCCCTGAGGGGCTTGTGTCCAGAGTGAAGGATCTCAGGGTTTTTTATAAATGTGTGTGCTGGTGTGTGAGGTGTGTGATCTGTTTTAGGTGCTGTGTCTACCATATACATTCTCTGCAGTTTTTGTTCTGCATGTCCAGAATTAGGGTTTGAGCTCTGCAGAGTAGCGATGTGCAAAATGTGATGCAACCCGACATTCCTCATCCTATGCTCATGAGATCATAGATGTTATCCAAAACAAGGGTGTCTGATCTTTTTTGATTCTGGATCCTGAATGTGACCTCTGTGACCCAATCATAAGTCTGTATCCCAGGGACTGAGGTTGCTGCAATTTTGAGGGGTTGACCATTTCCTGGTTTGCAAACTTTGGGCTTTGTGCACCAGGCTCTGACTTCTCTGAGATGTTGGTTACACATACCCTCATGCATGAGGTCTCTGTGTTTTCAGTACCAGTCCTCTCAGATGTGCATGTGCCTGCATACCAGGGTAGGGATCCAAGCTTTTGTGGATTTGTATGTCCAGGGTGGGAGGTCTGGGAGCTATTTGGGTTTTTAAGTCGTGAGTTATGAAGTTGTTGGCATGCAGTTGAGTCTATATTTCAGAACTGGACATCTCAGGGCTCTTCTGAGTCCCTGGCCTCATTCACTGAGCTGAGCAATCTAGGTTCAGTCAAGTGTGAGGTATTGTGTGTCCAAAGATTTGAGGTCTGTGAGTTGTGCTTTCCTGGATTGCGTTCTGGGTTCTGCGTGGCACTGGGATACTTGGGGTTTGGTGACTTATAGGGTGAGGTCCCTGAAGTAGCTGGAAGTTCATGTCCAAGGTGTGATGGTTCTGAGCTGAGGGAAGATCTGTGTCACAGAGACAAGCATGGTCTGCCTTTTGTTCTGTATTCCAGGGTCTCAAACACCTGAGCTATGAGCAGGTTCCACTCTGGGAAGAGAGACATTGTCACATTCCCAAGTTCAGACAGGAGGTTTTTGACCTCCTCCTGATGTTTCATTTTCACAACTGTCCAGAAACAGTGAGAGGTTATCCTGAGACTTCGTTCACTTCAGCTCCCCAAAGCCCACATTCCTTATCAAAATGTTCAGTTTAGTCAGCTTCCTTCAGACCCTGCCCTGGATTGAGAATCCTGCTGCTCTTTAGAAAGACAAGGCACCTCCTTCAGCCACAGCTGAGGAAATCTCAGTGACAAGGGAAAACGGGCCCCCCACCCAAATACGAACGGGACATACCCATCTTGTCCTGGGATATTATGGTCTGCTTCCTTCTAGGCCTCACGACACCCAGAAAGTAACCAAGGCAGAGGCACCGCTGCAGCTCATCACCCACACAATTAAGGGCCTGGATCCCAGGACACTGCTGGGTAAGAGAAGACACTAGCTCTTGGGAGCACCTTTGAACCTCTACGGGACTTTTACCTGAGAAGCACTGACGGCACTGTATCCAGACCCCTTTGGACCCTTCCTCCCATTGGACACATCTGAAATCAGAAGTTGGGGCTGGGGAAAAGAAAGGGACGCCGTGAAAGGCCATCTCTGGCCAGGGAAAGAGGATGGGCCCTACTGTCCAGCAGGAAATGCAGGATGAAAGTGCGCAGATCATTTACCAGAAATGTGGGTTGGGCCGATGATAGTGAACTATCCCATAAGATCACCTCCATCTCTAAGATACCCATGGTTTCATCGTATTAACTTCTGACTAACCACACGTTATACACTGCTACATGAGAGAGAGGTTCAGAGACAGAACTCTTGGTTCCTTCTCTGGTAACTTGGAACATGGTGACATGACAGGTTCCTGATAACGACCCAAGCCATTTCCACGTTGTGCACAATGGGATAACAAGGCAAGTGGAGAATGGGATGTTCTCTTCAAATGCCAGGATTAGTGTTTCAAGCCAATTGTACCAGAGCAGGAAGCTTTAGCCATTTTCCAAAACACCCTCTGTTGGAGGACAAGCAACCCCTTGCTTCTACCGCATGTGTTCCCAAACCTGCAGAGTATCGAGGACAGTGCCTCCAGGATCACAGACAAGAGCACCTTGTCTATCACATGCTGGGGAAACTTCCTTCTTAATGACAAGTGAGCTTTGGGGGACTCACCTTGCACCTTGGCCTCAGAGCACTATTCACTGTGGAGCCCAGCTGCCAGTCTCTGGAGGGGTGAAGTCTGGGGAAGCCTTCTCACCTGCAGGGTCAGGGAAAAGGGAGTCACACCCCATAACGTTTCTAACTTCTCTTATTCTCCAATTCCATAAGGCCAATGGGAACTTCATGGATGTGTGTTGAGCCTCCCTCTGTAACAGGCATGGGAATGGGCTCACTATTATTTAACAGTGAGATCCTTTGGGGGCAAGTCATCGGAGCACTGGGGGAGGTAGAAATCTTCTGCTTACTCTTGAAACACAAAAAAAAGGTTGAAAAATGAGAAAAAGGGATGAGGGAAACAAGTTCACACACACAGTTCAAAGCATCTCATAGTCACCCAACCACATTAATCACACTGCTCTCCTGAGTGTTTCCTAACGTGATGCGGTTTGTTTTCAACTTACCACTTCAAGGAATGACTTGAGGCTCCAAACTAGGGCCAAAATGCTGACTAAATTAAAATTTCTGGAAAGTCAGTGCGTGGGGTTTGAAACGAAACCGGGCAGCCTTGAGACTCAGATGACAGAACTATTTGGCAATAATTGTGCCTCAGACTGATGCAGCTGCTGCCACACAGCGACCTGGCCTGAGCACACTGAGGCCACTACCAGATGGGGGAAACTAGGACCCAACAGGGGTCTCAGTCCAGTGGGAAAGGACACACGACCCTTCCAGCGACAAACCCTGCGGATGGTCTTCTCTGAGCCAGGGCAGCTTGCAGAGCTAGGGTTCATCTGGTTACAGAATTGACAGAAATCCCTGCCCAGGGACCTGGGGATGTGACTCAGAGGTAGAGTTCCTGCTTCACATTTGTCTCCAATGATAGGGACGTCTACATCAGCCGCAGCAAAGAGAATGGGACCGTGGCCCTGGATGGGTACCTCCAGGAGGGCAATAACATACTCTTCGTAAGTGTTGAAGGCCTAAAGAACCTACTCTAGACCTCTTTCATAATGCAGCCTATGCTCTGTCACTGTAAGTGCAGCACAGGTTATAGTGCAGAATGGACTGAAGAGATGTCGAGATGAATGGGAGCCGTGGTATTCCCATAGCTATGGTGCTGCTGTCAGTGTCTGCCTTCACCATGGTCATGGCCTAGGCTGTCACGAGACACTGGTAACACCTTTGGAAGGCTTGCTGTCTTCTAGTGCTCCCAGTGAACTTCACATTTCTCTTACCCTCCTTCCCTGCTGTTGTCCCATAATCCTTCTCTCTCTCTGCACAACTAACACATGACTTAAAAGGCCTGATTCCCACCCAGAAGCTTGCTGTTCAAAATCTCCAAGTCATCATATTCTAATCAAAGTGTAAAGGTATAACTGGGAGGAAAGCTGAAGGAACCAAATGAAGAGTTTTGTGTTTCACTAAGACTGTCAACAGAAACTCACCTACTACCCAAGCCTGAAAACACCCATCACCGTGGGTGACAGCATTTTTCTTAGCTGGCACGCCATGAAGGCCAGCTGCAGGACATGAGACAAAGATATACATGGTACACACACAAATGCATATGTGACAGCATAATACCGATGCCTTAGGGAAACTGAAGAGGTGAGAAAGCTACTACCTGGTTTCTAAGATTATGATTTAAAAGATGATTTTAGCTGAAGAATTTAAAGAGCTATTTGCAAAGAACATATTGTGCGATAGTGGAAATGCCCACTCAGTGTCATCTAAAAAATTAACAACTGAAGGAACTAACTGAAAATCACAGAAGAATGGTATTTCTTTTCACAATAGCTAAGGTGAAGGAGAGGTAAAATTTGCTACAAGGTAGCAAAATCTGCTCCCATCAGTAAGTACTAAAAACCTTGTGATATTAAGGTAAGACTCATCAATCTCTAGCTACCCTAGTGGCTTCTTTGGTACCTTTCAGTGCTGTTAAAGGTCAGCTGGGTTGACTCTGACCAGGGTTATGACAAAGGGACCAAACCGACCCTTCAAAACCACTCTGGAAGGACAAAAGATAGTGCCTCCAAGGTGGCACCTGAACTCTCTCAGGTTACCTACCGGTCCTTTAGGTTTCTATTAACAGGCAAACCCTGAGAAAAGGAACTGCCTTCTGGGCCGGATGAGCATGAAATCAGCTCTGTTTCTGATTTACGAAAGACGAGAAGGCCTGGATTGTTTTTTTTTTTGTTTGTTTGTTTGTTTGTTTGTTTGTTTTTGGAAAGTCTCTAAACACAGAGCATGGCCTTTAATAAGTTAACAAATGATTTTTCAGAGACAGGGTAGGGAGGGGAAGAAATGCTACTGAATCAGAAATATTGAAATGGACAAGTGAGCTGCAGGTGCGAGTATCAAACAGAGTAACCAGAGTCCCCATGGAGAAGGAGACATTTTGACACAGATGAGAAGAGGAAGAAGATTCAGTCAAGCAGACACCTGGGGTCAGGGTTTTCCACGGGTCAGGCTTTTCCACACAGAGAGAACAGCTGGGAAGAGTGTCTGAGGCAGAGCTTGCCGAAACAGTGCAGACACACTGCAAGGACACCAGAGCAGCCTGGAGTGGGGAAGAGCTGAGCAGAAAGCTGAAAGTGTGAGGGTCAGAGGGCCAGGCTGCTGTGGGATGAAGAAGCTTCGGCTCTATCAGCCGGACAGTAAGGACAACAGAGGGTCACAGATACCCAGGCAAGGCAAGGTGTGGGGAAAGGAGAGAGGTGGGGCAAGAGAAATCAGCAAACAGGAGGGTTTGGGCAAAAAGCTAGGACCACAACCAGGTAAGGCTGAGAGAGCCCATGGGGACCTCACTGGCATCTTCATACTGTCCACAGCCTTGTCTCAAGGGACATCTGTGCTCTAGCCACAGTACCACATACTCAAATACCAGGCCCAAATTCACTCGGTAGTCCTCCTGCTGAACAGGGGTCTACTATGTGCACCGGACACTTGAGAAACTCTGGTGACGGACCAGAGCAATACTACTGGGAGGCTAGACTGGAGCCTGATGGACCAAGAGACTGCTCGACATATACTCACAATATTTGGAACCTCTTTCCTCAGATTTCCAGAATTGGACATGGGATGAAACCACGATCTTCCTTTCCACCCTGGTGGAAGACAATCCAAGCACAGGGGAACCCTTTGTTCATTGTCGTTTCTGCTGCAGAAATAACTGTAACTATAACAGCTATCCGTTTCTGTCCAAGTAACTTTGCTCAAAGTTCTTCAATCACTAAATAAGCAAGTTCTAAGCACTTGCTGGGCAAGGAGATGGGAAGGAGCATGCAGGGATGACATAGGCAGTACCGTTGCAGGCTGAGGACCCCCCCCCCCACTCTGGTGTGGTGGGAGAAGAACGATGCCAGAGTTTAAGCCACAGCACCCCACGAACATACAGAAGGGCAACTCACACTCACCTACAGGGTGTCTGGGAGGGTTTGCTCGGGCCACACTCACCAGGGAGGGGTCGGCGTAGCAGATAGGTACTCTGATTATCCACATCATAGAATGGGGAGAGCTGAAGAACAGAGCTAGACTTCCATCCTCAGTCCGGTGGGCCCCACATCACTATGCTTTGGTGTCTGGTTGACTCCAGGGCTGTGTTGAAGCCATTACAAACATTTCTTCTGGCACTGTTTGCCTCTGAATTCCTATTATCTGTCAGGGAATGAGATTAAACACAGTGAGACATAATTTGAGGGTGGAACTGAAGATTTCCTGCTGGAAGAGAAAGCCCTGTGCCACTGTAAGCTGAAGCCAACCTTTCCCACCAAAGAGACTCCAGGGCTGTCGGGTCACAGCGGCTCCTGGGAGGGCAGACACCGAGTGTCCTAGAACCCTCAGGGTGGCTTCACCTGATGGGGGCCCCTGTTTCTCAGATGCACGTGGTGTTGGAACAACAAGGACCATCCAATCACAGCACGGTATCTGCATCTCGGCAGGCAGCTCTGAAACCCAGACGGTTTTGCTGTACCTGGAAAGAGGCCTGGCTATAAAATTGGACAGAACTGGGATGTGAATCCCAGACCCAGGCTCTTCTGCATCAGCAACCCAACTTCTTACTGTTTGTCTCCCTTTGCTATGCAGAACCAAATGCTAGGGCCCCTGGGATTCTAGCTTACACTCCAGGCAGGATGAGGTTGGGAATGGTGGTGGTGGGACTGGTGCCATTTCCACCTTTTCTTATTTATTGTTCCCCTGTCCACAGCACACACTTCATTTCACGCTTAGGTGTGCTAAGTTAAGAGGAATCACACTGGGCTTCGGTGAACAAAATTCATGCTCGCGGTGTACTATGTTGCAGATAGAACCAGCTGTGGACCTGACTTCTCTAGTGGATGGTGTAAAACAGACACAGAATCTCATGTGGGAAGCGGATGGCATCCTTAGTAAAAGATAAATGACGAGTTGCATGCAAGCACTGCAGAGTCCCTTGGAGGGTCCCCGAGTCAAAGACTGATGACCTTGGCCTCCTGCTGACCCACACCCTGGCAAAGGGAGGACAGCTCGGCTAGTTTACTTTCTTTTTGTTCTTTTTAGTTATACAAGACAGCAGACTCCATTTTGAGATGTTTAAACAAGCATGGTATATATCTTATTCTAATTAAAATCCCAGTCTTGTGGATGGACACCATGTTGAGATTCACTGTGGTGTATTCACATATATACACATAGGAAAGTTATGTCAGACTCATTCCTCTGTCTCAGTTAGAATGCTTTGTCACTACAGAAAGCTCAGACTGTATCTAAGACGGAACCTGCCGTGGACCATCATTACACCAAAACAGTCGTTATCAAGGGCAGATCAAATCTTGTTTACTTAATTTCCTTGGTCAAGGAGGCTATAAAGTGACAGATTCTTTCCTTGTTTCTGCTACTTAACTCTCCACTGCAAGGGAGACCTCCAGCCTGCATCTCATCATGGTACAAAAATTATAGCCGCAACTGCAAATTCCAAAGGCAAATGCAACATTGGGTCCATATGAATGAAGGGGAGATCTTTGTGAATGTATGCTATTCTCTTCCTTGAAATCTTTTACACATATGCCTTTATTACTATTTACGTAGGTGTCACTATTCTTTAAGCTCATTTTTATCATATAATTAAGGCATACGACATGATGTTCTGCACTACATACACAGTGAAGTGATTACTGAGGTCGATCAAATTAAACTGTGGCCTTCCACACTTACCATTGTGTATTGTATTTCTCAGTAAAACTTGCCCCGGAAGCCCAGCTCTCAGACCTATTCCAATTAGTCAGTCGATCTGGGAAATCTATAAGGAATCTTCATCAAGTGCCAAGTCAGTAAGCTTTTCCAGCCATCTACTCCCTAGGTAAAACAGAAACTGCAGCTAGGCGTGATGGCAAACACCTGTAATCCCAGCAGCTGGTGAGGCTGAGGCAGGAGGATCATGAGTTAAAAGCCAGCCTCAGCAACTCAACCAGGCCTTAAGCAACTCACTGATGCCCTGTCTCTAAATAAAATGTAAAAGAAAACAAACAAACACCAAAACCAAAAGGTGGTGTCTTGGAGAAAAAGGTGTGCAGAGGGTGGGCGTGGACAGTTTCAGTTTGGGACATGCTGATCATTAACTGTTGTGGGAGTCAACCACAACGGTGACTCTGGGGAGCTGACCTAACCTCTCAGTGCCTAGCATGCCATTTCTGTGATTGGAGAATAATAAATAAGAATTAGAAAACATGACTTAATTAGTTTCATCTGTTTAGTGTAGGGGAATGTTCTCTTTTTATCCAGAAGCATCGTGGTGGTTATGGTCAGGTAGTCACCATGCAAAAATGGGAATCTCTCTACTTACCCACATATAGGCTTCGGGTGTGCTCACCACAGAGCATGTTTTGCAAATGCTGAAAGATAGGCAGGAAGGAAGGGAGGGGGGGAGAAAGGAAAAGTAAATAAATTGAATATAATCCGAGCTGACCACCACCTGCGTGGAGCATAATTGTCTGTCTCCTATGGAAGACTTAACCTCTCCTCCTCTCATCCTTCAAGCTCCTGATAATAGGCCCTCTCTCTCTCCAGCCGGTAGGGCACCGGCTTTGGGATCCACTTTCCCTACCACTCTTTTCTCTTGGAGGTCACGTCCACTGCCCCAGAGTTCACTGAGTGCAAAAATGTGACTGGTGGGTGGTTAGTTGGCTCAAGAGGTCTACAGTTTAGGAGGGAGGACTGATTCAGATATCTGGATCTGGAATGGGGTACTGAAGCCACAGACACTTGGATTTGCATCAGTGATACCCCAGTTATTCCCTGTGTAACTCTGGGCTGGTTATGAAACCTCTCTGTGGCCGTTACCTCACTTTACAAACATTTTTATTTGGTGCTGGGGATCCAACCTAGGGTCGCCAACCTGCTGGGCAAAACCTCTGTCACCTGAGCTCCAGCCCTCATTTGGGGCTGGGGACAAAGTTCAGTGGCAGAGGGCATTCCTAGGTGGCGCAAGTCCCTGGGTTCCATATCCAGCACTGGAACACAAAAAGACACCTCATCTATAAAATGAGGATGATGATCACAATCTGGGACAATTACTGATTTCTGCCTTCACCTACACCATGAGTATGCGACCATCTGGAAAGTATAAAATGCTGTTCATGGGTTAGTAACTTCCAGGGCAAAATGATCATCTCTTTCCATACATATGGATCTGCTTGGAAAGGCATGAAAGATGCCCTGCTTAGTTTGACCTTGTTGAACATCTCCTGACTCCTGATGCAAGTCATCGCGAAGAAATTCCAGCATGATTTCCTGCTCTGGGAAACGCTGACCACAAAGGACCACCCTTCCCCATGCGACTAAAGATATGAGGCCTGCACTCTGTCCACCCGGCCACCAGTCCCACACCACTCGGGTATGACACGCCCTCCTGACTCCTGGTCCACTGTCTGTCTCAAGGATGATGCGCTTAGATTTGGAAGTTTCTTCTCCTCGACTAGCTGGGCAGCGATAATCACTCCCCATTCAGTTTACAGAGAGCACCTCTGATCATATCAATAACCTCCGCCCCCGTTAAATCTCCCCCACTATAGCCTGTCTATTCCTCGCGAAACGCAAAGGCAAGAGCCACCCCGCCGCGACACTGGTATCCACATCCAGGGCCCTCTGCCTACTGCAGCAGCCCGAATGGGTTCCATGTCTTTGCGTGTGTGCGTGCGCACGCGCGTTCCTTCTCGGTGGGCTCCTTCCGCCCTTGCAAAAACAGCTAGTGAAAAAAACCCAAATCACAGAGCGGGTATCCGGTCTCGCGCGCTCCAGACCAGAACGAGCCAGCCCGTCCCCGAGCAGGTGGCCTCCCGTGACCCCCTCGCCGGTTCCCACGAGCCCCGGCGAGCATCGCCAAGTCCCGGACCCGCGCTCTCGAGGTCGCGAGGGCCCGCGGCGGTGCGCTGCCCGGACGGCGGGCGGCCTCGACGCCGCCGCTCCGCGGGGCCGAGAGGGAACGCGCGGGCCCCGACCCCCTACCCTGCCGCTCCGCGGAGCAACCCGGGGCCGTCCCCTTCCCGACTCGCACTGCAGCTGCCACAGCGAACCCAGGTCCCCGTTCTCCTCCTCCCAGGCGTCCCTGCCCTCTGACGCACGCCAGGCCCACAGACCCCGCCTTCCCTGGCGCGGCCTCTCTAGCCTCCGGAGGGCGGCTCCTCTCGGTGATCTTAACCCTTTCCTTCCAAGCGCCGCGGTGCGTTACCAGGGCTGAGGAGAGCTGGCGGCGCGCCGGCGAGCAGACGCCCGGACCCGCTCCGGAGAAAGACCGCGCGTGAGACAGCCCGAGTGACACCGAGACCTAAGGAGCCCCAGCGACAGAGATAGAGAGAAGCGGGTGGGAGAGAGGCTCGGAGAGACGGAGAGCGTGGGAGCCACAGAGAGACAGGGAGAGACTGAGAGAGACTGGGAGGCGAGGGGGCTGGGAGAGAGACAGACGCAGAGGGAGCCGGAGACCCCGAGAGACGGAGAGAGAGGGAGGCCGAGGGGGAGAGACAGAGTCTCCCTGGCACCGGCTGGGTGAGAGAAGGAGAAGAGAAGGGGGTGGGGGAGAGACTCAGAGAGAACCTCCTGGACCAGGCCAGGTGCGCCTGTGGGTCCTGGGACCGGAGTCCTCCTTTGGCCAGCCGTGAAGGGCGCTTTCCGAGGGGACCGTTGTTTTTCTCAGACGCCCCATCTCGTCCTTATCAGAATGGCGGGTGGGCAGTCTGCGTGTGGCGTATTTCTCTTTCTCTAGCTGGGGCCCGGCGTTTTGAAGCCGAGAAATAGGACTGAAACTTCCTGTGGGCATCCTTAAGCAGCTGGGTGCTCGAATCCGTGTTCAACAGGTTCAGAAATAACCTGTTTCCTCGGTATCGCCTCCCACTCCGCCTCATCTCCCACCCCACCATAGGAGACAAAAATCTCTGAAGTGATTTCAAGGAAGGCGACATTTCCCAAATGGAAACGTCAGAGAAAGTCTTCCCAGGATGCGTGAGAGCCAGAGGGCTCAGGATGTGACTTAGAAGCAGGCAGGCTCTTAGTAGGCTCTGTGATTCCTGCATTCGCATGCAAGTGTTTGGACCTTTTCCATCAAATCACTATGCGAGCTGCAGTGTGTGATGTTCAGAGAGGGAGGGCATCTTTGGTCGTCCCGTTGGCTGCAGTGCAGCCGATCCTGGGCAGTTGACCTGGGTGGGATCAGAAATTTGGTGTCATGATAGGCTGACAGATTTCCACTGGCACTTCCCTTGCGGTTTCCCTAGATTCACAGGGTCCTATGGGGTGTGTTGCATTTGTGTGTTGACCTGCGTGCGTCAGGGTAGTGTTAGTTTTATCCAAGAAGGGCCAGTGAGTGGCCTTGCTTGGCTGAGCCTCTTGGGGTACCAGCAACAGGGAGAAAGGCCAGAGAGGAAGCAGTTCTCTGTTTTCAGGAGCAGAATCCCAACAGCTCCCTGTCAAAGTGTCTCTTAGCCTGGACCATCACTGGCATTTGAGAAAATGCTCCGGGAATGATTTTCATAGGGAGGCGCTGGTCATGCTCTTTGCAGTCAGATGTCCATTACATTGGAAATCAGACTTGGGATTGTGTGACTAGCTGAGTTAAAACTAAGCCCCAGATCCATTTTGTTGACCCGGCGTGTGGGTGGAAGAAAAACTAAAGATAAATGTTCGGTTCTGGTGCGTTGCAAGGAAAATTTATGTTCTTAGAGTAATGATCCCGTGCTAACACCCCCTCTGTATTTGATATTTATCAGATTATGAGAATTTAAAGGTAAGGAGAGCCACGGGTAAGTATAAGATGGCGGATGGAAACTGAAACAGGCGACAGTAGTGAGAGGAGAGATTGGTGTGATGAAAGGTACAGAGATATTTGTATTTTAACAGACCTAGCGGAGAAATGGCCAGCATCACAACCTAGCTCCGTGACCTTGAGTGAGTGGCTGAACATTTCTGATCCTCACGTACCTCATCTGCAAGTAAGGGCAATAATACAGATTGAGTCTCCGTCTTCTGACACTCCACAATCCGAACTGCTCCCAAACCCCAAAATTTCTGAGAGTGGCTGGGGGTGGGGTAGCTCAGTGATAGAGGGTGTACTTAGCATGCCTGAAGCCCTGGGTTCACTCCCCAGTGGGTATGCACACATACACACAGGCGCCTTAATTAAAGATATCATATGAAACTATCTTTAGGGTATTGTATACAAGGTGTGTATGACTCGTAAATGAATTCAGTGGGTCTCCCCCTCCCAGAGAATCTCATTAGGTATATGAAAATTTTGCAAAACCCGAAACACTCTGAAATACTTCTGTCCCTGAGTATGTCAGGTAAGGGATAGGTAACCTACGTTTTCCCTAGGGCATCACGCCCATGGAGAAGCCCTTCCTGACCACCTGGGCCTCAGGGCCTTCTCTGAGTTTTCAGCTCCCCCAGCTCAGGTCCTCTTCCTCATCTTCAGTTTGGCTCCCTGCCCCCAAAGACTGGGAGCCTGCTGAGGACTTTTATCCTGCAAGGAGGATAGAGTGTGCAGGAGTGGATGCAGAAAGTATATCAACTTCATTTTCCGTCCATGCAGAGAGTGTTTATGGCTTTTATCCCCACACAGTAGAGAGTCCAGAGCCATATACTATGAGCACAATAGCCATGTATTCCCCTTCGTTGGGAATAGGAACTGTCAGACCAGCTGTTACTCGGGCGGGAAAAAAAAAAAAATAAAATATATATATATATATATATATATATATATATATATATATATATATATATATATATATATATATATATATATAGTGAATGAGCTGGCGTGGCAGGTCCTGTGCTTGAATTTCTGCTTATTCTGAGGAGATGGGGTGAGAAGCATTGTGTCTTCTATCCCTAATCTCTTCTTAGGTTTCTAGTAACAATGTAGCACCTAGGGTTTTTTTGTTTTTTTTTGTTTTTCCCTTCTGCTTTATATTATACCTTAGAATGTTCCTTACTGGGGCTGAGCTCTGTTCTCTGGGTATGGCTGCTTTGGGTACCTCACTGAGGGGACCGCTGAACAGAGTGTGCCATCAGTAAAGAAGTGTTAGGTGAATACACCTCACCATTCAGGTTTTGTTGTCTTGTAGGTGAGAGGCATAGATCTCACTCGCGATGGCATCAGCAGCATTGACGATGTGAACCTAGTGATCAGTGACCCGGGTGACCAGGTGAGCTCTTCACTTTGCAAGAGGAGACTTTTCCCTTGTCTTCCTCCTGCTGCTTCAGCCTCTCCTCCTCTTCACCCTTTCCCTGCCCCCACCCCTTTGAACTCCCACTGTGGTTCCCTGTCTGTGTCTTCTGGGCCCACCTACAGGAAGATCCCAAATGCCATGCTAGGACCACGTTTCATTGGTCTTCATTTTCTTCTTTCATGCTGGAAAGCGGGCATCACTGAGTGTTGGCTAATGTCCATGTTCTTTTGCAGCAGAGCCGCTGACAAGACTATCCCCTCTCTTCCTGATAGAGGAGAATACAGCTAATCCGTGCAGGTGACAAAGATACAGAACAGCAGCGTGGCACTGCATTGTCTGGAACTCAGACTCCTTTTTCCCTGGCGTTGTATAAGGTGGGCATACGCTTTTCAGCAGACAGTGACCTTGCACGGATCTCAGCCATTTTTGGTAGAGTCTTGCCATTTCTGGAAAACCATCATAGTATTATGTAGTTGATAGTAGTATGTGAACTCAGTTCTTCCGAACTGAAATGAACTCATTTTATAAGGATATGTCATCACATTAGGCAGAGTTGGAAAAAGTATCGTGTGTCCTTGTCTCGATCGTCAAAATCAGCACAGCTCTCTTCCCAGTGCTCATCACCCCCACACTGTATGCATTTACTTGTTCGGCTATTTACCTTCTGCTCACCCGGGCTAGAATGCAAGCTGATGAGGGCAGGAGGTTTGAGCAGGCTTTGTTGAGGACAGCATTCCAGGCACCGAGAACAGAGCCTGGTACCAGTAAGGGAAGGTAAACATTGGCTGTGACAGTTGCCTGATCCCTGGACCAGCTCTGGACACGTGGGCCAGCCTCCAGGACTTTCCTGGCTGGCCTCTTCCCCCCGCAGGATTACTTTGTAACTCGGGCTTCCATGCCAGTTGATAATCCACAGAGGCAGTGCCCTGCCCCCAAGAGAAACACGCACCTGGAGTCAGACAGACATGGCATGGAATTCTGCCCCTGTCTTAGATGTGTGGTCTTAGGGCTATTACCCAACTTTGTGGTGCAGGAATTTGCTTCCTTGCAACACGGGACAGTACGGATTGTATAGGGTTTTACTTGCAGAGTGAGACATTTGTGGAGGACCCCAAATTCTTCTTACTTCATTTGCAGGCTGTTCGTGAACGTCCACTGGGGTCGGGGCTCTGTGATGGGCAAATTCTGCCAAGTCGCTGGCCACTGTTGGCTTCTGGGCTAGTGAGTGAGACAGGCAGAACCATCTGATGCCAACTGAGTGGGGCTGGGGCTGGGAGAGGGGAAATTCAGGGTGCTGTGTGAGCTCATCTAGGGCTTGGGGAAGAGGCCAGAGAAGGCCTCCTGGAGGAAGTTCTTTCTAAGCTGAATCCCCAAGGGTGGATAAGAGGTGAAAGTCCTCCAAGGCACCACTCCCCTCCAAAATCTCTCATCCAAGACTGCCATGGTCATCCATTCCACTGGCTCCCCACTGACTGAGGAATGGGGAACTAACCCAGAGGGAATGTCTGTGGGGGCTTCTGGTCTGCTCCCTTGCTACAGCAGAGATACAGAGAGTAGAAAGTGCCTTCCTGTCCTTGGACATTGGCATGTATGGATGTCAGTCCTAGAACTGATATGGCCGAAAAGGAGAGCTCCAACAGATGATCCTGGGTGGCAAACTGGTGGGTCACAGATTATACCTGGCCTGGGCCCACCCTTCCTCTTCACTCTGTTTTGTGAGTTGGCAAATTACCTCTCTGCTTAGGTCTCATTCCTCTTCACTCATTGTCTAAAGCTGACTGCCTGATACAGTGACTGTTGTGGATTTTATTTGAGGGAGCAATATAGTTTCCGATGATTAAAACTGCCAGTGCCTCTGTGGGACACACTGGAGGAAGGCGGGGCCCAGGCCATGCTGGGAACCCTAGAGAAAAGAATGTAAGTGTCACATTAGCATTCTCTGGCCAGCCCAGGAGCCTTTCTTTCTCCGCCCCATTCTTCTGGGCCTCACCAGAATGCTGGCCATTGCATGGTGGTTTGCCCCATCTGGGAGCCATAAACACACCTCGCCTTCTATTGTGTGGATCCATCCAGTTCAGCTCCAGCTCTTTCCTCAGTAGTTTGGGGCTGCTTCTGCTTTGGTGGATGCCCCAGGACAGTGCCCAGAGGGTGTGACTTTTTATTGCTCCTGCGTGGCTTGGAAGTCCTCCATGAATTGGTCCCATCTGCTCTGTTCAAACCCATCTCCCCATTCTCCAGACTACTCCCCAGCTCTCTCTCACACTCCAGATTCCAGTGTGGGCCCTGCCACCGACATCTTTCTCCCCGTAGGCCTGTGATTCCCCATTTGTAAAATGAGACCAAATGAGATAATGGATGTGGAACTCCCAGCCCACGTTTCCTGGCACGTGGAAGACGCTAAGTCAACAGAGGCTGTTTTCTGTCAAGCATCTTGTCATCCACCTGGCACTTGATAGTATGGCAGCTCGGTAAATGTTTCTTGAGTTGGACTTCAGGAAGATGTGGTATGTTGTGGGTACACGAGTCAAGGTTCTCCGGAGAAACCAAACCAATAGGACGTCCATGTGCCTGTGCATCTGTGTGTATCTATAACCATCTGCACATGGATAGATGGGTTTTAAGGAGTCGGCTCCCCGGGATCTTGAGTACTGGCAAGTCTGAAATCCAGAGGGCAGATGACACCACTGGACTTTCACATGACAGTTGCAGTCTTGAGGCTGAAATCTGCAGGCAGGCTAGCAAACTGAGAACTCGGGCAGAGCGTCTGTGGTCTTCAGGCTGAGTTGCTTCTGCCTTGGGAAGCCTCAGTCTCTGCTCTTGCGGCCTTCAGCTCATTGGCTGAAGGCCACTCACGTGATGGGGGCAGTGGACTGTAATTAAAGTCTAGTGACTGTGCAAGTTCATTACCCCCACAAATACCTTCACAACAACACCTAGATGAATGTTTGAGCAACTGGGCACCGTAGCCTAGCCGAACTGACAAGTAAGATTCACCAGAGCCGTGGGCAAAGAGGTTGCTGAGGGACATCACCTGCCGAACTGAGCTCAGACCAGTAAACTTGGTGGGTTCATTCGTGTCCAGTGGTCCTTGCCTTCTCTTCAGAAGCTGGGTGTGAAGATGAAGTAAATCCAGAACCATGGTGCTTGCAGCAGACATTTGATATGAGATCTTTATCCCTCTGGGACAAGGGACTGTGGAAAAAAGGAAAAGGAATAAGATAATGAAGGATGGGAAGTCACAGTGATTGACTCGGCTTCTCCCCTCCCCCCAAATAGGGGACTTCTCTAGGCCCCCGTGCCTTTGATGGCTCTGGAGAAGATCACGAGGACCTTCTTGTGGTGTGGTTTGGAGATAGGACAGTGAAATAGTTCACGGGAACCGTGTGGGGAGAGAGGGAGAGCAAAGGGTGATTAAGACACAGGTCAGTTGTGAATTGATGTTTCCAAAGGCTTGGTTTTTCTACACAAAAAGGTGTTCGTGAGAATGATTTTCTTTCTGCGAGAATCGCCTTTCCATATGAGGAAATATGATCCTGAGGGAGTCCCTGTGACATGTGAAAAATCAGTTGGGGAGGTAATGGGGCTAAGATCAGTTTCCAGATGTTTCACACATAAGCGTTTATTTGGGAGGGCGATGGCCCAGAGGGTGTAACTGGACTAACTCCTGAGAAACAACAGCTTTCACTTACTGACGTGTTAAGGGAGACTCTCTCTGGGACCTCTGTCTGTGTTTGTAGGTCAGATGATTTGAAACATTTCTAATATTGTTCTGTGTTTCCTGCTCTGATGCTTGGTTAATACAAATTGCCAATTGCCAGTATGCTCTGAAGAAAACCGGTGGATTCTTGGTTTCCAAGTTGGCTAGAAGGACAGAGCCTGGGTTGCTGCCCTGAAGCTTCAATCTGGCATTGCATGTGAAGCGTTTTTAGACTCCTTCAGGACATGTGTATTGAGAAAATATAGAGAGATGTCCTTGTGGCAAAGTCTGCCATTTGGGTTTTTCAACTACCACCCAGTAAGACCAACATTTTTGTTTTCTTTTGAGTACGGTTCTGCAGGCTTTATCCCATGTGTAGCTGCTCGTAGCCACCACCACGATCAGGACCGTGTACTCGCCCTTTGCCCCCACAACACTCCTTGTTGCTGCCCCTTTGCAGACACACCTCCCCACCCCTAATCCCTGGTAAAAACAAATCTGTTCCCCTGACCTGCAGTGGTGTGTTTTAGAGAGGGTCATGGATCTGAAACCAGGAAGCCTGTGGCCTTCCAATATGGGCCTCCTTCTTTTAGCATAATGCAACATCTTGGTGAATCTCAGAGCAATACTCTATTCCTTTCGAATGCTGAGCAGCTTGTCATTGTGTGGACACCACAGTTTGTTTATCCTTTCATCTGAGGAAAGAGCTGCTGCAAACATTCGTGTGCTGGCTTTTGTGGGAACCCAGGTTTTTCCTGGTCCAGGGTAGAGGCAGGCATGGGAGTCCTCGGTCCTCAGGGGAACACAAGTTTAGCTTAGGAGAAAGCATCACTCTAGATTCAGAGTGGTTGTAGTCTTTTGCCTTCTCGCCAGCAAAGTGTGAGGGTTCCATTTGTTCAGTCTGTCCTCCGGCCCTCGGTACTTCCAGTGCTTCTCGTTTAACCATCGTAGTACTGTGTAAGGGGATACTGTCATCACGGGTTTAATGTTCAGGTCCCTGATGGTTAATGATGTTGAACATTGTTTAACGTGCTCACATGCAAGTCTTTGGGGTTTTTTGTTTTCTTAGCAGTAAGTTTTGCAAACGCTTTCTTTCTATGCTCTGGATATAAGACTTTGTCAGATCTGTGATCCTTATGCATAGCTCTGCTTTTCATCGTCTCGACACACTGTCTTTTTCCAAGCCAAAGCTGGTTGAAATTTTTATTCCTTCCTTTGTTTTAGAGACAGGGTCTCTGTGTATTGCCCGGGCTGGTCTGAAACTGGTGAGCTCGAGTGATCCTCCCTCCCTCGGCCTCCCCAGTAGCTGGAACTACAGGTGTGTGCCGTCGTTCCTGGCTTCAGTTTTACATTTTGATGGAGTCTGTTTAATCAGTTTTCTTTCTTTCGTGGATCGTGCTTTTGCTGTCGCGTTCAAGACTTACTCTTTCCTGTCCTCTGGCTCCAGAGATGTTCTCCTGTGTTGTCTACTGAGAGGCTCACCAGTGGACTTTTCACTTTTAGATGTCTGAACCATTTTCAGTTAGCCGTGTATAAAAATGGTGGGGTCGAGGTTGGTATCCTGGCACGCGGATATGCAACACTTTCAATGGAAAGATTCTCCCTTCTCTTGAATTCACCTTCGCATTTCTATCAGAACTCATATTTTCATGGGTGTGTTTACGGACTCTGTATTTTCTTCCGTTAATCTACCTGTCTACTCCTTTCCAAGATGGCAGTCTTGATTACTGCAACTTTGGCAAGACCTCCCCAAATTCATCCTTGTTTTTGAAAATTTGGACGTTCCAGGTGAAGCGCAGAATCAGACTGTGTATGTACACAGAACTCCTGCTAGGATCTCGATGGGAATTGCATTAGTTTTACAGAACAACTTGGGGATAATTAACTATTTTACCACATGGACTCTTCCACGTCATGGACACATTGTTTCTCTCCATCGAATTAGGTCCTCTTTGATTTCTTTCATTAGGATCTTAAGGTGTTCCGCAGGCACTTCCTGTAAATTTTTTGTTGTTATCGTTGGTTTCGTACGTACCTATTCCCTTGCGTGTTGCTTTTCAGTTTCAGTTTGTGACGCTCACGGTGGTTTTCCATGTGTTGACCTTGTCTCTTTCATCATTGCTAAATGCACTTATTAGTTCTAGGGGTTTGAGCAGAGATACGTTGGGGTGTTCCACGTGGCATACACGGTCATGAGATCTACGCCAAGGGGCAATTTGATTTCTTCCTTTCTCATTTGTGTGCTGCTCCCTTTCCTGACATCATTGCCCTGTCTGGGACTTCCAGGGTGACACCAAACAGTCGTGGTGAGAGTCACCACCCTGACCTTGTTCTCAGCCTTACAGAGAAAGCATTCCATTTCTTGACCTTGCAGGTTTGGGGGCACATACCCTTTAGCAGGTTCAGGAAGTGGTCTTCCATTCCCTGTGTGTCAGAGGATTTCATATCATCAGTGGATTTTGTGTCTTGTCAAATGGCTTTCCTTCGTACCTTCATATCATGCTGTCATTTGTCTTCTTTGCCTGACCTCAACCTCTGTGGGATTATGTTGATTTTGGGCGAGAGAAAGCACCACCTTTGCATTCCCGGTATGAAACCCACTTGGTTGTGGTTTGTGATTCTTTTCACATACTGCTGGGTTGGAGCTCTTGTGTATTTTGTTGAGGAATTTTGGGCTTTTGCTGATAAAGCACCAGTCTGAAGTTTTCCAGGTATCAGTACAGTACTACCTTCATGGCATCGCTTGCAAGTGTTCCCTCTGCTCTGATTTCTGGAAGAGATTGTGTACAATTGGTGTGATGTCTTCATTGAATGTTTGTTAGAATTGGCCAGGAAGACTCTCTGGGCCTGGAGATTGTTTTGCAAAGCCTTTCTTCCTTCCTTCCTTCCTTCCTTCCTTCCTTTCCTTCCTTCCTTTCCTTCCTTCCTTTCCTTCCTTCCTTCCTTTCCTTCCTTCCTTTCCTTCCTTCCTTTCCTTCCTTCCTTTCTTTCTTTCTTCTACCAGTTCAGTTTCTGTAAACGATAGAGGACTGTCTACGCTACTTCATCCTGGGTGAATTTTGGTGGCTTACAATTTTCCAGCAACTGGTCCATTTCAACTAAGGTGTAGCATTTATTTTCATGGTGCTGACTGCAGTCTGACCATGTTGTTCTTTTTGTTCTCCGAGTCTGTAGTGAAATCTCTTCTACCATCCCTGCTATTTATACCTTCTTTCCTCCCTCTTTTGCCCTTCCTGCTAAAGATGTATCAATTGATCATTTCAAACAACCAGTTTTCCATTTAATGGAGATTCACCATTCTTTTTTCTCCCCCCCTTCGCCGTCCCCCCTACCCCCCTACATGTGTTGTTTGCATTGTCGTGGTTTTACTTCCTGGTTTTTTAGTAGAAGAAATTCTTATTTACACGTATCGGGACTTTTGAGATGATTTCCATCAGTACGAGCAGCCTTTTTAACTAGATGTAAAGCCACTGATCGTGAAGGCAGAAATTCCCAAGGGTGTGTTGTCACCGTGGTACAAATATGTACAATTTACTGAAAGTCTACTCGATGAAAGTATTCGAATGCTTATGAGAAGAGCATGTGTTAGTCAGGCATTGCTTGTTCTTATCATCGTTCCTGAGCCTGGGTTACAAAGAATCTGCACGGAGTTAACCTCGTTCAATATGTTTCTCCATGTTACATCACATGCCTCATGGATGCAATCAGTGGTGCCATTTCTCAAACCTTTATGCTATGCCATCAGCATTCTAAGCTCTGGACATGTGTTATCTCATGTCATCCTCGGAGGAAGCCTAGAAGGTGGGTCTCATCATCAGCCCCATTTTACACCTAGGAAGCGGAGGGACAGAAAGGTGGAGTAAGATGAATAATCACGGGTTTTCTTTCTTCTCTTGTCACCCTTTGTTGCAGTCTGGTGTGTTCTGGCCACACGCTTCCCTCGCCACCTCTTAGCTATTCGAAAACCTCCAGCTTCACCTTCCCGGCTAGACCCCCGGGCTGGGCGGAGCTTCTAGCTCTAACTGGACCCCCATGGATCCACTCCAGAAATGGAACCCAGCGTTGGTTTCCGGATCTTCCCAGGTGACCGCTGGGGAGAACTCGCAGGAGGGTGCGGCAGCCTCTCAGCCTTCTTCCTCGGAACAGCTAATGATGGGCCTCAGCGGCCTGAACCCCAGTCCTGGTCCTGGCCTCTCTGCCCCTCTGCCAGAGGGGCTGTTCCAGCAGCAGTACAGGGAGGAGAAGACCCTGCGGGAGCGGCGCTGGGAGCGGCTGGGCTTCCCTCAGAGGAAGAAAGCATTCCTGGGTCACCTGAGACGCAGGCACCGCGATCACATGGCACCTTACCCAGTGGAAAGGGAGACCAGGGTCTACCCCACAGGCGACAGAGCTCAGAATCGGTTCCGATGTGAATGTCGCTACTGCCAGGGCCACAGGCCGAGTATTTCTGGGCTCTCTGGCGAGAGGAATGGGGCCCCCAACCCTTCCTCCTGGGAAACGCTAGTGCAGGGCCTCAGCGGCTTGACCCTCAGCCTGGGCACCAACCGGTCTGGCCTTCTGCCAGAAGGGGCACAGCAGCAGCAGCAGGAGCAAGAGGAGAAGTGCCAACTGGAGAAGCAGCAGGAAAGCAAGAGAATGTTCCAGAGGCTGCTCAAGCAGTGGTTGGAAGAAAACTGAGAGCCCCCTGCCCCCTTTCATGGGGCGGAGACCTGAAGGGATTCAGACAGTGCTGTGTTGCCAGCTCCTGGGGGTGGGCTCCTTCTGGGGACCAGACAGTCAGCTGTTGTCGGAGGAGTCCCAAGACTAGTTTTGTGACTGGATGGATTCCTATTGGCGTGAGATTTGACCCACTCCCAGGGAGGTCCTCCTCTTCCTGCCTGTCATCTGTGAAGCGCTGTGGGGCACCCTGGGGCAAGGCAGACTGCACACCAGTGGACCTCACCTCATCCCATATGGCTCTCATGCCGCATGTTGTCGCTTTCCCAGCCTGGATCTGCGTCTTTGCTCCCTACCTTGTTGTCAGTAAGATATAAGATGTCTATGTAGTGTGAATGCCTTGTTCATGTCCTTGTGCTTTTGTGCCGTTTTATCGACTGCCTCCTGGGAGCAGTGCTAGGGCTGTTTGAAATGGCGGTGCGCAACACTGAGATCCAGGTTCGAGAATCTGCAGCTAAACAAAGTGTGGGAAAGGGGTGTGGCATTGGAACTTGGTGGCTCACTATTGTACTGTCTGTGTAAACTATTATGACTATGATAAGCTAACTGTAAGTAAATGTTTCCCTGCTTCTTAACCATTGAGTAGTATTCCCTCCGCGCAGGATTTTCTGATGGGGTACCTCATCGTCAATACCAAATAAACACGTGTATGAAAGGAAAGTAACTTTAGAATTCAGGTTTGTTGATCGATAGTGGTTTGTTTCTTGTTGGACCTTGAGATCCCCGACCAGCAGACCAGAGCATGTCAAGAGGAGCTCTGCACTGTGGAGATTCAGAATGGGGGAGAAGGGGGCTCAAGAACCCTGTCCGGTCACTGTTTCAGGTGCTGTAGTGGGACCAGCATTCAGACCAGTCAGGCAGCGAGGTTGGAAGCAGGGTCCCCAGATCCCAGTAGGAGCCCATGCTGGTTGCCGCTGATGCCCTGGCTGAGGGGTCCAGGGCCATTCCTTGTCACCCGGTGCACTGGTTTGGTGAAAGTGTACAGCAGTTTTCCGCCTGCTTCCTGAGAACCAGAGCATCACTGAGTTATTTCAAAACTGTATCTGGATTTAGACACGTTGTCTTTTGATTTCAGGAAGCCTGAGTGATTAAATCTACCTATTTTCCCCTACAGAAGCCCGTGATGTGTATCCAGCCACGGACCATGTGATTCCTCTGAGCCGAAAACAAATTCTGCTTTGTGTCAGTCTGTTTTTAGGGAGGCCCCAGCACTACATTGCTGCAGAAGTCTGCGCGTCTCCTGCCAACACAAGTGGCTTGAGAGCAGGTAAGTTTCTTAGATTTTCAACTTGGGATCCCCTCAGAGAACTTGAGAGCTAAACTGACCCGATCAGGATCTCGTCTCCCAGTTCCAAGGGAGAGGGTAAATAAAGAAGGGCGAATTCTTTCCTGAAACTCAAAGGCCTAAATCCTAGAACGGGGATTCTGCAGTGTTCAGAAGGGATGACAGGGTGATGCACATTGGCTGGTTCTTTACCAGGTGTCAGACAGTATCCTGCGTGTTTCTATATGTTAGCTCTTTTTATCCCCACCACAGACCCATCACTTAGCAACAATGTCAGCCCCACAGTAGAGAGCTTGGCCAGGGTCCCCTGGGCGGCAAGAGGCAGAACTGGCACACAAGCCTAGGCAAGGTGGAGTCTAGCTGGCAACCTGAACCTGTTCCCCCTTTGTAATGGCTATTGCAAAGTCACCTTACTGACACCTCATGCCTTCAAGGACCAAGTCTTGGTAAGATGTGTTGTTGAATCCTCAGCACAGCGCAACAGGGCAGGGATGCTTATTTGTTGCTGAGAGTCTGTGGAGGTTGTAAAGTGGTGGCCAGAGAGGCAAGCCTTTGTCTGACTCCCCACACACTGAGTCACGCTCCTCAGACCTCGCCTCACCATCCTCAGTTCATCGGCCACACCAGCTCCGTGATGCCAATGACGACCAAGCGTTAAACCAATCCCCCGGGGTTCAATTTCCACACTTGAACTCCCCCTAGTCTAGGCCATGCTGACGGTTGTGGTGGGGAAATGAGGAAGAATGGCGCCGTTGGTCCTTGCCCTTAGGCACTGAGCATTGAATCAGGGAGGAAGATTGGGCACTGTCTCAGTCTCTTTTGTAACAAGATACTACAGACTGGGCAATTAATACAGAAGAGAAAGTTATTTCTCATGGTTCTGGATGCCTGGAAGTCCAAGATCAAAGTACCTGCGTCTGGTTTCTGGTGAGGACCTTCTTCTCACATGGCAGAAGGTGGAAGGGCAAGCGGAGATGGACGTCGTTCCTTTCATGGCAGTGGAGCCAAACCCATTCACACAAGCCCCCTTTTAACAGAATTAATGCATTCATGAGGGCAGATCCCTGGGGACCTAAATACTTCCCGTTAGGCCACAGCCCACCCCACCCAACCCCGACACTACCACATTGGGGTTTAAGTTTGCACATCAGTTTCAGAGGGGACAAAAAGGTTCAAACCATAGCATGCACCAACGGATGGGCTAGGGAGCAGGCAATCGATCCCTTGTGTGGGGCGGTTTGTTCAGGGTGAGAGGAGTGAGAAGGAACCCCGTTGGGGCTCCTCCATGCAGACACGGAGGGCTTGTGGAGGAATTCATTACTACAGAGCAAATCAAAGTATGCAGGAGATTGTGTGGAGAATGGCACCATATCCCCGCCTCCAAGACAAAGGTCTCTATACCCATGGATGGGTTGTAGGAGGGGTTCTGGAAGGGATGTCTCAGACATCAGACTATCCAAAGCTACAGGCTAGGAGCTGGAATCTCATGGTGTCCACAGACATCCGACATGTCAAATTCTAAACCGGACACTGAATGAAAGGTACCAGCAGGCAAGAAAACACTGGGGCAGAGAAAGGTTACAATGGATGCACAGGATGAAAACCTGGACAGATTTAGAGCATTCCTATGAAACGGAGAGAGGAAATGAGAAATATCTTCCCACAATTGAGAAGTCAGGCCCAGGTGACTTTGGGGGTGAATTCTACCCAACATTTAAAGAAGAAATAGTACCAATCCTTTGCAGACGCTTCCAGAATGTGGAAGAGGGTGGGGGGTTGGGGGGCATTTCCCAACTCATTTGGTGAAGAGCATTTACTCTGCTACTAAAGCCAGACAGAGACATCACAGGAATGCGACAGACCGATATCCACCATGAATATCAACACAAAAAGGCTGAAGAAAATATGAACGAGTCAGGTGTAGAGGTGCAAACCTGTAATCCCAGCTATTTGGGAGACTGAGGCCGAAGGATTCAAAAGTTTGAAGCCGTCCTGGGCACCTTAGCGAGGCCCCGTTGCAAACTGAAAAAGAAAAATTATTTTTACAGGGCCGGGAGTGTACTTCAGTGGTAGGGCGCATGACCAGCATGTGTGGGGCCCTGGGTTCCATCCTCAGTGGCACCAAAAATAAAGAAAATATTCATGAACCATATCCAGCAACAGATACAAAATGTTACGCAACATTTCCAGGTAAAATTTCTCCTAGGAATCCACGATTGGTTAACATTCCAATTTCAATTAAGGTCTTCCACCATGTTAATATAATAAAGGACAGAAGCGGCATCATCATCTTGATAGGAAAAGAAAAGGCGTTTGACAAAACCCAAGACACATTCATGGAAAAAGAATTTCTCAACCAACCCCACATGGTTAGAAGGAAAGGCTCTCAACCTATAAAGAGCATCTACCATAAACCTACAGCTGACATTATATATTGTAGTGAAATAACAAACACTTTTCCCGTAAGACTGAGAGCAAGGCAAGGATGCTCGTTCCCACTGTTCTCTCCACAGGTTCTATCTGGCGCAGTCACGTAAGAAAAAGAAGTGGAAACGTGGATACATTAGAAAGGAAAACACATGACCACTCAGAGACGTGCTGTGGTTTGTCCCCTCCAAAATTCATGTTGAAATTGAATCCCCATTTTTGAGATCTTAGGAGGGGCCTGTGAGAGGTGATGAGCGCTCTGCCCTCACCAATGGACTAGTCTAGGACGAATCGGGTAAGAGGTTAATGGGTTGATCTGGAGAGTGGGTCTGCTATGAAAGCCAGTTAGGACGGTACCCTCTCTGATGCTCCATGTCTCCCTGCCACGAGATGCCCTACTCCACCTGGGGACCCTGCCAGGAAGAGGGCCATGGCCAGATGGGGAACCTCGACTCAGAACCATGAGCCAAAATAAACCTCTTTCCTTTATACCTTCCCAAGTTGAGGATATTGGCAACAGCAAACAGGCTAAGACAACGTGTACTCCATGCTTATGGCAGTATTATTCATGATGGCCCCAGATGAAGACAATTAAATGCCTGCCAGTTGTTGAAGGTATAAATAAAAGGTGGAAAAAATAAAATTAAAAAAATGAAAAAGTGGAATTCAGGTATCCATATAGTAGAATATTAATGAGCAAAGTTTAGGGACAAACTACTAATACGTGCTATGGCTTGTTTGAAACTTGAAAATATTTTCCTAATGGCCAGAACCCGGGGAGTGGGGAGAGGGGAAGTCCGCTTCTTGCATGAGTCAGTTTATAGGGAATTCCTGGGCCTGGCGGTAGTCATGGAGATTGACTGCTACATGGGTATGAGGGAATCTTTTGGGGGCAAGGGATAGAAGCATTCTGAAACAGGGTTGTGGTGATGGTTGCACAACCGCATGAATGTACAGAACGTCACTGCATTGTACCTTTAGTTGCATGAATTTCATGGTATGCCTCAATAAAGATGTTTTTAAAAATGTAATGCACACGTGGAAGTTAGTCACGGGGGAAAGGTGTGCAGTCGTTTCTCTACAACAGTAAAGAATCTGTTGCTCTCTCTCTTTCCTTCTTCTGGGTCCTGCCTACATTTCCTGCCTATTTCCTGCATCCCCCATGTGCACTTGATGCTCCAGCCAGACGGTGGCACTGTGCACGTCTGGGTAGAAGGTGTGCTGGTGAGTGCACAACATGACTGTGTGTGTGCACCAGTATGCCTGCGCAATCATGAGCACAATTCCATAACTGGGGGCAGGTTCCCATAATCCATCCTGTGTCCTAAATTCCATGTACGTCATTTTTTACTCACGAATCTCAAGGATCCGGCTTCAGTCTCCCTGGTAACCAACCTCGGCTCTCAGCTTCAACCTCTGTTCCCAGGAAGACATCAGAGTGGGGAGGGCTGTTGTCTCACTCCAGGGCCCCCTGCCTGAACAAGGGACCCTGTGGAGGTGAGCAGCAGCACGGTTTCCAAGACAACGGCATTCAGAGGCCTCACCACCTGTGAGGCCCTCCTCCTCCCCTCAGCCATCAAGTAGGAAAGGGGACTTTGTGGAATAAACACACTCCTGACTCCTTGAGATTTATCTACATATGCCTATAAAATGAATGGCTCAAACATAGCTCTCCACAGGGAAGATACCCAATCAACCTTTTGGGGGAAAAAAAAATCAGTGAACAACAAACAAGACCCTCAAGCTCAAGATTGTATTTGAAAACAAGACAGGGGGAGGAGGAGTGTGTGTTTAGGATTCTCAGCCTCAAGCTGCGCATGAGATCTCTGGTGGAGTGATTTTAAGAACAGATGCAGGGCCGCCGTCCCCAGAGATCCTGATTTAGTCAGTCTGAGATGAACCACCACCAGCACCACCCCTCCCCCCGCAATGAGTGTTACCTTATGCTCCAC